CAGTTGTGTGAAGAAAATGATGAACACTTTCATCGATTACTCCTTCACACTGAAGTACGCTGGCTGTCGAAAGGCTTATGTTTGACAAGATTTTTTGCATTTTTTGAGACTATTTTCGAATTTCTGGATACTAAAGGTAAAATTTTAAAAGAAAATTTAATGAAGAGGAAAACAGACATCGCCTATTTAACAGATTTGTTTACACAATTTAATATGGTTAATTTGCAATTACAAGGCGACAGTTTAAATTTGATTAAAACAAAGTCCATCTTATCAGCGTTTCTTGCCAGAGTTAAACTGATGAAGCAAAATATTGGACGGGGCGAATTTTCTCAGTTCCCCAATTTGTCACAGACAAGCTGCCAGGAAGACGACGTTTCAACTTACGTTCAACATTTAAATTCCCTCTGCTCAGATTTTGAATCTAGGTTTGAGGATATTTTGACTATGGTAATACCACCGTGGATAATTAATCCATATGGTGACATAGAAGAAACGAATGTCATAATACAAGAGGAACTGACTGATCTAAGTACAAACGAGGAACTTAAGGTTCAGTTTAAAAACGGATATCAGCAATTCTGGCTGCAAAACAACATACCCGATACTTATCCCGTATTATGGAATATAGCGAGAAAATTTTTAATTTCCTTTCCATCGTCATACCTAGTGGAAAGGGGGTTCAACACTGTTATCAATCTCTTAACGAAAAAAAGAAACAGACTGGACATCATTAGCCGAGGAGATTTAAGATTAACCCTTACAAAATTGACGCCAAATGTTGATAATATATTATTAAAGCATCAGGTTCATCCTTCTCACTAAAAATATTGACTTATTGCTTATGTTATTTTATTTATAGTTTATTTTATGTTTATTGGTGTCTGACCAATAAATGCCCGCATTGGGAATAAGTGCCCGCATTGATTTTTTTAAAGAACCCCCCTTTATACAAAATATTTTTTTTAAATTATTCTGAAAATTCAAGGATAGGTACACACTAAAATTCGTTAATTTTTTGCCTATTTTTAGATAACTTAAACGTATAAGAAGCGGAATTTAATCAAACTAACAGTGAAATTATTGTAGAACATACGTTTATGTTATAATTAATAAACGAACTCGCTTATTGTACTATTTTAAGTAAAAAACTTTTTTTATTATTTTTCACTTTTTCAATGCGGGCACTCATTCCCAATGCGGGCACCTATTGGTCAGACACCTGTTTATTTAATGTTACGTATATTTTACATAACAGATACAAAATTTTATTTTGCGTACTTTTCATTTAAATTCAATTAATACATGTGTTTTTACTTTAAGTTTTTAACACTAAACTTCACTACAGTTAGAAATTTACAGGAAATCAATATCAGGTAAGTAGGGGGTCTAAAACATGGCAAGGGGTCTACGACACAAAAAAGTTTGGGGAACTCTGGTCTATACAGTATGTCCAAGATTCGCTTCGCTATACAGGGATCTCGGCTCATGTTATACCTACAGCAAAGGTTGAATGGGGAAGTTTTAGAGGAAACTTAGTGCATTCGATAGTCGGCTTCAGATTTATGATCGGTCAATTGGTTTTAGAAATATCGGCGAAAAACGGAAAATGTCAAATTTTGTTTTTGCCAGTAAATCCAAAACAGCTAATTCGACAGCTGTAAAAATGTGACATCATTCGGATATGTTTCTAAGGCAAATAAGATAGCGTGTCTGACTTGTCTCAATTTTCTTTTGTTTTCCCGCAGCTGGCCTCAACTTTTGAAAACAGCGTGAAATTTCCAGCATATTGATGTCTCACAAGTACATAAATTATCGGAGAATCACCGAAATACCATCACACGTAATGTTATGTATTAGTCTTTTTCTAAGGAGGCCATGATTTTTTCATCAGGAAATAACATTAATAAGTAAGGTATAAAACACACATAAACGCCTTGAATTTTCAATAGAATATTAACGCTAATATCGACTTCTCAGCATATCAAATGTTTTCGGACAAATTCCCAACTACTCTTATGAGTGTGTTGAAAGAACGAGTCATAAAAATCGTCGCAAATTTATTGAATAAACATACGTTTTACAAAATCCTTATGTAATGTAAAATCTAATTATGTAAGTGGGTATTAATTTACATATTTGCAAAATAACGTCCACTTGCATCCAGACATTTTTGACAATAATTGGTGACTGTCGTACCTAAGCTAGTGTATTTCTCATAATGCTTCTAAAATCAAAAAATCCAATATAGCGGCCATAAAACAAATGAAAGTTGAGGTGGGTTGCTGGAAAACAAAAGACAATTGAGACATGGTACCTTACTTTTCTTAAAAAAATCACCGAATAATGTCACATTTTGACAGCTAACAAATTAACCGTTCTGGATTAACTGGCAAAAAACAAATCCGCAAGCTGAAAAGTACTGTATGTCTCCCGATGGGACACGCACTGACAATTAGGAACTTTAAAACCAATTCACAACAATTCACAAATTAAGAAAAAATATAAGATAAATGCCTCGGACCTGGACTCCTACTTAACTGGACTCCCCCGTTACTTGAGCGCTAGTTCATTACGTCGAAGCAATAGTTCGCCTAAAATTGGAAAATTTCCCTACAAAGTGATCAGTGTTTTATACAGTTAAGGGGGGGAGGGGGGGCGCCCTCTCTTATACAGGGTGTTTCAGTTTATTGTTGCATAACTTTAAGATTCGATAGAACATTTAAAATTAGTGCATAAAGTCTATATAAACATGGGTCGAAAAATGCGTGGCTTCCAAAATACAGGGTGTTTAAATTTACTTTCTAAAATAGTTTTTTTAAATATTTCGAACAATATTTGATGTATAACAGTGAAAATTGGTATACAAGGGTTTTTTGATACGACATAACGAACCATGGGCATAGTTTTACTGTAGCCGCTAGAGGGCGCTCTCTACTGTACCTGTAGTGTATTAAAATGACCGAAAATTTTTTCTCAGTGAATTTTTTGCTTTTTTAATAAAAAAACTGATTCTTCGCACTTTTCAACATAAAAAAGCTCTCCTGATGTGTTTTCGTTATAGTTAGCCGTTTTTGAGATATTTCGATTTTTATGGTTTGATGCATTTTTAATTATTTATGGGAAAATAATATTTTTTTCACATTTTCGGTTTGGGCATTACAAGTAATTAAGATGGTCGTTTAGATTGTGTTTTTAAACACAGCAATAATTCCTAACTCGAAATAAACACAAAAAAAACGAATATTAATTTGTTTAAGTTTCTAATATTATTTTTAACAAATTAAATTAATTATTTACAACTAAAATGCTATTGGATAGTTAGGACAAACATATAAAATCTAAAATAGTTGCTCGAAATGTAAACCCAATTGTTCATTACACAATTCACATCTACGAATGATCGAACATGGTATAGCATTATTTAAATAAGGCCTTATTTCATCACATGCATTCCTGATTCTGTCTATTAGCATATCTCATGTGATTACGGGAGTCTGGTACACTTTTTCTTTTAGAAATCCCCACACAAAGAAATCTAATGTATTTAGGTCAGGGGATGGTGGAGGCCAGGCGACTGGTCCTCCACGACCGATCCATCTTGTTGGATAATTTTCGTCCAGCCAGTTTCTAACTATTCTCGAATAATGAGCTGGACAACCATCAAGCTGGAACCAGGCCAATCTTCTTAAATCTAACATAACATCATCCCACATATTTGCATGTTTAACCTTTAAAAATTCCAAGAAGGTCGCAGCATTTAACCTTGCAGGCAAAAGGTAGGGTCCAAATAGTCGATTACGGTAGATACCAATCCACACGTTCACACTAAATTCATGCTGAAAATTTCTTTCCCGAACTGCATGCGGCTTTTCATGCGACCAAATATGTTGATTATGAAAATTTACCACTCCACGTCTAGTGAAGCATGTCTCATCGGTCCATAAAACGTTACTTAAAAACTCCCTATTATTATCAGTTCTATCAAGAATCCACTGACAAAATGTGATTCTTCGTTCTCCGTCCCCTGGCACAGGTTGCAAATGGTAAGGACGTCTGTGGTCATTTCTAAGAACACGGTGAACATGGCTTGCTGAAATTCCTAAGGCACTAGAAACTCTCCTAACACTTGTGGTCGGATCTCTATCATACTCACGCAGAATCATATGGGTAAATCTGCGCTGACAAACATTTATGTTTTGATCCCTTTGGAGATTCCCAAAACCATTTTCAATTATTTGGCGATGTACTCTTACAAATACTGGGCGACTTCGATGTCGTCTGTTTGGAAATCTTCGTGCGTATTCTCTGGCTGCTTCTGCTGCGTTTCCATTTACAAAGCCATACACAAAATGAATATCCGCTAACTCTTGATTGCAGAATAAAAATGGCATTTTTATAAAACTTACAAAAAAGAACAGGTAAAAGAAATTAAATTTCGTGCATTCACAATTGCAAAAAGACGTTTCAGGTTTCAACAGACAACAAAACTAACTGTCAACTAATTTTTAAACTTATTCTGCTTTCAATTTCAAAAATATTTGCAGGCACAGCCTACTTCTAAGAATTATCGAGATACTGACTTTTTAACGTTATTTTATCATAAATAATTAAAAATGCATCGAACCTTAAAAATCGAAATATCACAAAAACGGCTAACTATAACGAAAATTCACAAGAGAGCTTTTTTATGTTGAAAAGTGCGAAGAATCAGTTTTTTATTGAAAAAGCAAAAAAGGCACTAAGAAAAATTTTTCGGTCATTTTAATACACTACAGGTACAGTAGAGAGCACCCTCTAGCGCAGTGGTTCCTAACCTGGGGGTAATTACCCCCGCAGGGGTAAAACGGAGATTCTAAGGGGGTAACACGGGATGGCACGAAATAGTATTAAAATAGCAATAAACAAAATAATAGTACGGTAAACGGTAGCACGGCGCTCTCATGCGCGCGGCTGACGGCGACGGCGGCGGGTGAGCTGCGGTGTGGGAGGGGTGAAGCATGACTAGCGGCGGGCCGGACAGGCGGCGATGTTCATTTTGTTTACCTAAGCTTAGGAAGAACACGCATTTTATTTGTTCCGCCGCGCATTGCAGAAATCGTATTTTTAAACGGTTTAAATTCAAAGGTAAGCAGTGTTTGTTAATATCGTCACGTTAATATTGTCACGAGTGATTTGTTTACGTAGGTATGTATTAGTTGATTTTTGTTTTAGGTACCTACAGGTGTTTTTGACATGGCTTCTACTTCATCTGGCAAAAAGCGCACTTATAAAGAAGCATTTCTACAATGGGGTTTCACAAGCATCGTAGACAAAATATAGAAAAGCCTCAGTGTGTTTTATGTAATAAAGTGCTTAATCCAGAAAGCATGAAACCGAGCAAATTAAAAGAACATTTTGCTAAAGTTCACAAGGAGTTCGCAGATAAAAATATAGATTTTTTTAAGAAAAAGGAGAGGATTCTGAAGTCTTCCCGCATGGATTCAACAGGCAATATACAGAAAGCAATGAATCATGCCTTCAAGCTTCATACAAAATTGCTTATCGCATCGCACGTAATAAAAAACCACACACTATAGGAGAGGACCTCATCAAACCTTGCTTGTTAGATGCAGTAGCACTTGTTATTGGTGAGCAACATGTAGCTAAGATTAAACAAATCTCACTCTCAAACACTACTATTCAAAGTCGCATATGTGAAATGAGTGCCGATATTCTAGCAACCGTTATTTCTGAAATAAAGGAAAGTCATATGTTTGCGCTGCAGTTGGACGAGTCCACAGATGTTGCTTCGTGTTCACAATTATTGGTGTTTACACGATACATTAAAGATGATGATGTAAAGGAGGAATATTTGTTCTGCAAGTCTTTGCCCACTACTACTCGCGGCGAAGACGTATTTCAAACGCTAAAAGAGTTTATTGAGGAAAATGGCCTAGACTGGTTAAAGCTGATTGGTACTTGTACAGACGGGGCGCCTTCCATGATGGGCATCCGTTCTGGTTTTCAGGCACTCGTGAAGCAAGTTGCTCCTCAAGTTTTCGGCTATCATTGCTTGATACACCGTTACGCTTTGGCTGTGAAAACGCTTCCATCAGATTTGCTAAACACGTTGAGTGACATAGTAAAAATTGTTAATCATATTCGAGGCAGCGCTACTAACTCAAGATTATTCAAAGTTTTGTGCGATGAAGTTGGTGCTACATTTAATGCTCTTTTGTACCATACAGAGGTACGTTGGTTATCAAGAGGCAAAGTTCTAAGTAGGGTTTACGAATTACGAGAAGAAATTGGATTGTTTTTTTGAAAATCAGAGAACACAAAAAGAAAAAGAATATTATGCAAAAATTAAAAGACCAAACATTTATTCTAAAAATGGCGTACCTTGCTGATTTTTTCACTGAAATTAATAGTCTGAATATTTCACTGCAAGGAAATGAAACGAATATTTTGACGTTGCAGGATAAAATCGCAAGTTTTTTGCGCAAATTGGAACTTTACCAACGCAGAGTTCAAGCTGGTGATGTGTCAATGTTTACACAACTAAGTGAGCAATTAGTAAATAATAAACAAGAGAAAATCTCGTTTGAAAATTCCGTGGTTCAACATTTAACTGCCGTGATAGACTCACTGCAGCAATATTTCCGAACATGGACAGTCGTGAGTCCTACTCCTGGATTTTAAGACCATTTTCTACTTGCGTCGATATTTTCAAGGACGAAGATGTGTCAGCGAAAGTAGAGTTTCTCGGGCTGCGTGAGAATAACTCATTGAAAGTTGATTTTCAAAATGATAAACTAAGCACATTTTGGCGAAAAGCAGCTGCAGAATATCCCATTATAGCTGACAGAGCTTTAAAAATGTTGATTCCATTTGCTACAACTTACAGATGTGAAACTGGTTTCTCAACTCTTGTTACATTAAAAACAAAAGCCAGAAACCGTCTGCATGACATGAGATGCGCGTTGAGTGAAACCGAACCTAATATTGTCAAACTTGCGAATGCAAAGCAATTTCAACCTTCACACTAGTTAACTCCAAGATTTACATATTACTTTACTTTACTAGTTACCTAAACGTGCAATTTCTTAGAATTTAGTTAGATAATAAACATATTTTCGTTCGAATTTGTGTGGTTTTAATTATTTTAAATTGGCTAGGGGTAAACTCAATTCCCATACTTGTTCACAGGGGTAGTGACATTGAAAAGGTTAGGAACCACTGCTCTAGCGGCTACAGTAAAACTATACCCATGGCTCGTTTTGTCGTACCAAAAAACCCTTGTATACCAATTTTCACTGTTATACATCAAATATTGTTCGAAATATTAAAAAAAACTATTTTAGAAAGTAAATTTAAACACCCTGTATTTCGGAAGCCACGCATTTTTCGACCCATGTTTATACTTTATGCATTAATTTTAAAAGTTCTATCGAATCTTAAAGTTATGCAACAATAAACTGAAACACGCTGTATGTACTGGTCTGTCAATCATATGAACTCAACCGCTTCACACACATACTAGTGATTTATCTAAAAAATTTCACAGTAAACCGCTTCAAAGGTGAAACTGCTTAAACATCGTATGCATCATACAACACCTAGTAGCAGCTAACCAGCAATCGTATCCAACAATGCCAATCTATCCGAAGGTAATTTCAATAAGAATAAACGACATTTCGGAAGGACGCGGGGATATAACAGACGAAGAAAAACGGCATATAGATAGGGATATCGGAGATAGCGGATTTGGCCTCATATAAAGCAGGAATGAGGGAAATCCCATCGAGCGAAAGGGATTAACCGGAAGCCGAGCTCAACCCGGTGGAAAGGTAGTGAGATATGGCGGTAGACTGGTCGGTCAGCCAGACGAGTTGACTTAGAGTAAGACCCTGGGGTGCGAGACATTATAGTCAAACCATCTTAGATAAAAATTCCAGTGGTTTGCGAAATAATTGTAAAGTTTGGTTTTATTGATGCAAGCTGTTCAAGGGCTACATCAATTATTGAGGGAAAACTTATTCAACACAAAGAATGAGAAAACGTGATCTTTGAGATTCAATCAAAAGTGTTCACAAGAACGGTAAAATGAGACCACATATAAAAAGACCCGACAGATAGCAAAAAAGTTATGGCCGAAAACCTAGTAAAATACAGGTTTTGTTAATTTATGCGACGATAGCGTTTATTGAGAAACTAGATGACCCGACAGACGTTGTACTGACTTAGCTATGAACTGGGATGAATAATGAATAACAAAAGGGTGCAAAATATGGAATGCAGGTAACTGTAATAGTAGTAGTATACGTTTATTTTCCCCCAAATATAATGTGTTAATAAATACAAATGCTAACTTCAGTACAATAATAAACGTAAAATAAAACAGAATACCTGTCTTTCACAAAATAATCTTAAGTTAACATGTTTTATAAGTCACAGAAAATTTTTAAATTGTCTTGTAAAGCCCATTGAAACCAAAATAGTTGGTTGTGCACGGGCAGATTTTTTTTGATATAATTTTGACAATAAGTTTTGCTTAGAGCACATTGTAAGTATGTAAGATATTTTTACACGGTTTGCTTTGAGCAGACGGTAATAATTCTGCTTCCGATTCAAAGCGATAAAAGTGTGGTAAAAACAGTTAGAAAAATTCTGAAAAGTTGCAAGTACCTTCGGTCAAGGTGGCAAAAATACCTATACTACAACTATTTAAAACTGTAATGACTCATACGCGTGATCAACACGTGATCAGAGCTCGATCCCGGCTTCCTTCCAGTACAGCCGTATAGCGTACGACATATGTCGTTTCTGTGGCTTTGCGGTGGTCAACAGCACAGACAGAGATGGAAATAATGGCTGATTGTTCTCCGCCGGTAGAACCAATGAAATCAAAGACGCGCCTCGACCGGCAGAGTCATAGGCGTCGGCAAAGCATTGGAACGTGTTTCGTTCAGCGATCGCATATTGTGTGTTTTTATAAGAATTGTTGTGTGATTGTTATTGTTGTGGTTTCTGTGGTTACTGTTTTGGTTATACTTAACCATGGAGAGTACAAATGGCACGAGTGGAAGTACTGCAAGCCAAGGAACAAGTAGACGGCTTCGTAAAGCACTGAAGAGGGACGCGAAAGAAATCGTGCTCAACGTGTTCAATTATCTGAACAGAACTATGTCGCAGGGAGATGCACTTGCGCGTTGTGAAAGTATGACAGGCGTTCCAGAGTGGACCATTCGCAGGGTGGTGCATGAAAAGAAGAAAACTGGAGCTACTACTGATGCAAAGTTTAATTTGAAGGGACGAAAGGCCGTTAAATTGGATGACGATAGCAAAATGGCGTTAAGGCGAACCGTACATTCATTCTTCTTTAGGAATGAGATACCAACCCTCAAGGCTGTACATGCAGCGATCAAGGAAAATGAAATTATACCCCAAATGAGCGTCGAAGTAATGAGGAAATCCCTGCACGAAATTAATTTCGTTACGAAACGCGTAATCGGAAGTCAGTATTGTTAGAGACCTGAAATAGTCGCCTGGCGTCGAAAATACCTACGCGAAATGATTGAATATAGGCCACAAAGCAGAAAAATCTATTATTTGGACGAGACATGGGTAAATGCAGGTCACACAGTTAAAAAACCTGGATAGACAAAAACGTAGTGAGTAACCGACAAGCAAGCATTGAAGGTTTGTCAACAGGTCTTCGTGGACCGTCAGGGAAAGGTCAAAGATTGATCGTAACTCATACTGGTAGCGATAGTGGCTTTTTAGAAGAGTGTGACTTGATTTTCGTCTCTAAGAAAGGAGGTGATTACCATGACGAAATGAATGCCAGCTGCTTCGAGAGCTGGTTTCAAGGAGTGCTTCAGCGAGTTGAGCCTAACTCTGTGATCGTCATGGATAATGCTTCCTACCATAGTCGTCAAGCCGAACGTGTACCGACTATGGGATCTCGAAAAAGTGACATGCAGCAATGGTTGCGCGAAAAAGGAATCCCGTTTGACGATTCATGTGTGAAAGCGGAATTGTATGAAAAAATTAAACAGCACAAACCTGCGAACATTAGTTACGTGACTGATGAGATGGCCCGTCAATGTGGTGTCACTGTGCTGCGGTTACCGCCCTACCACTGTGAACTGAACCCAATAGAGCTCAACTGGGCTGAAGTGAAGGGTTATATTGCGCGCCATAACACAACCTTCAAATTACCAGAAAAGGTTTTACTTGAGACTTCCATACAGCCAGTAACGCCCGAAGCTTGGCAGAATGCTATCCGTCATGTTGTGAAGGAAGAAACAAAATGAAGATACTGAATGACTATGTGATAGTTACCATAATTAAGGATTTTTTACCAAAATATCCGTAGTGTCAGAGGAAGGCTTGATGAGTTTTACTCCAGATTATGTCTTGTTAATGAATATGACATTATAGTTTTGACTGAAACTTGGCTTGATGGAGGCATTACTACTGCTGAATTACAACTCCAAGATTTTACTGTGTACAGATGTGACAGGTCATTGTTTACAAGTGTGAGAAATCTGGTGGTGGTGTTTTG